ATACATACATTTGTTCCAAATCACTGTCCCAAGCAGGGAAAATTAGCTCCTGCCTTTTCTGCTAATTAATGCACCACAATGCCAGTCAAGATGCATACATTTCTTTTGAACTGGAGCATGTTTGCCACAATTTGCTTAGGGATGTATGTGTTGCTGCAGCTCTTGGGTTAATCTTGACTGCTCACATGGCTGATGAGTCAGTGAGGACCGAGTGTCACTGCCCTAGAGCTTGTCTGCATTACAAAATCTTCTTAAGCTACAACACATACAATTCATACTATTACTACACGAAACATAGAAAAGTCCTAAAGGGGAAGAAGTGTTCCTGCAGGATCTGCTTTCCATTGACCAGGGTAGCAGACTTCGACCATAGGACCTTCCTGAGGAAGGGGCATGTGCTTTGCGTTATTCTAGAGGCACTTCTATGTCTAAACCACCTGGCAGACTTCTTTAAGAATTACAGCCTGATGCTCTGAAGAATTCCCCTCATCCACACTGGCTGCAGGTGAGGAGCCAGGCTTCCTGGAGGAGGATGACACTCTGGTTTACCTGTGGAAATGAAGCCTTGGACTGTGCTTCACCTATGTTTCTAACTGCTGAGGTCTAGATCACAAAGTACCTGTGATGCTTCCCTGTCTGGGAGATTGCTCTTGAAAACCCTCTTACCATCTGATTGCTATGAGATAGCACTGCTTCCCCACAGCAGTCAATTGTGGCAGGGCTTTGTGCATTAGGGCCTTTGAGGTACCTTCCTCTGTTAGGATCCTGCTGCTTCAATTGAACACACTTTTAGATAGTGTGGGGGCTACCATATGTCATGGGGAACAACAGCAGGCCCAGTGAGGGAGCAAGGGAAGGCAGAAAGGCTGCTGAGAAGAGAAGAGAGACTGTTGCTTCAAACAAGATTTCAGCAGCAGCTGGACGAGCTGGCAGGGAGAAGCCCAAGGTGACCCCCACAAGATGCTTATTTACTTCTGTGTGAGCTTCCTGGGCCTACTGCTCACTAAAAGGTCTGAGCCTCTCAAGTCCCTCACTCCTCTCCTGCTCCAAGGCTGCATCTCCATGGGGAGTGCTCTATTGATCCAGAGCACCAGTACAATACTTGGCAAAGTGCTGGTAGTGCAGATGTAGTTCACGCTAGCAAAGTGCTGCTTTGTGCTGGAAGACTAAAACCATGCCTGTACCCGAGTGAACTGAGCTCTGGCAGTAACCGTGTGACTTTGCTTCTCCTGGCACAGCCATGCTTTGCGCTCCAACTAATATCATTACAGCAGAAATCTGTTCTGTGAACAAAGGCAGAGGGGTTTGGGAGTCTCCCTAGAATCAGCTTGTTGCTCCGGCTGGAGAGGATGGTACTAATTGCCAATAAGCACAGTGACTACAAGATTTTATACCTGAAAACCATATTACCACATTTACTTTAATCCAAGATGAGGTATTATTTCCCCATTCAACACTGAGTAGATGAACCATCCAGGCACCTGACAGCCTTTGCCTCCGACCTGTGGGCAAGTAGTGCTGGGTATGAATGAGGCTGGCCTACAGACAAGGTGTTCTCAGGCATCAAGACTGCAGACAATGACATTTTTACTGCAGGAGAAGATGATGCCGAAGAAGAGGTCACCCCAGACCACATCCCTAAGCAGAGTATTAACCAGGTGCAGGGATGGAGTATTAGTCTGAATGCTGATGAGCTGAAGCTCAGAACTGCTGAGGTCTCCTACACTGAGGAGCCGTGAACTTCTGAAGGACTCTGGCTGGACCTTGAAAAACAGACCCATTAAGGAAATACTGAAGAAAAAGGAGAAGGAGGTTCAGCAATTCATTGGAAGGGCCAGCTATCCTTCCAGTTTAGATCTACCCATACCCAAACAAGCTGAAAATGATGCAGCAAGGGAATTCCTACAGCAAGCATTTGAAAGAGTAAAGAAACTCCTAAGCAAGTAACCAGTCCTAAAGCACTCCAACCATGCAGGACAGCTGGAGCTGCAGCACGATGCCTCACAAAAAGACCTAGGAGCAGCACTGATGCAAAGCTAAAAGCTCACATCATTTGCAAGCAGAGGCCTGACAGGCCCAGGAGGGGATACGCTCAGATAGAGAAAGCTGCCCCTGTCTGTGCCTTCTGAAACGGAACAATTTTGTCACTTTATCTTTGGACGCTGTAGGTGAACATGCAGTCTGATCACAAGCCATCATGAGTGTATCCAAGCAACTACAATGCACATCACTACTGAGATTGTAACATTCTGCGGTGAGGATAAGGCAATGCCCAGGAAGATCACTGCTAAGCAAAGTGCCCTTCCAGAGTACTGTAACAGGACAGTGAGTTTATAAACATGCTGTAATTATTTGGAGTTTCTGATGGGAGCCTCCAGGCAATTCAATAAAGTAGTAACCACAATGGGGTGCTACAAGCACCAAGACAATTCACAGGTATTGGCTGGCCAAGATCTAAAAAAGCAGGTACCACTAAAGGCCCTCCCCCCACAGCTCCCCAACTACCATGCAAGTGAGGAGTTGTGTGTGCAAGGCAGAATTTTGTTTAAAGGGCCTGGGCACTAATCCTAACAGATTTGAGAGCCCATGTCAGGAGACAGATACATACTTCACAAAGGCGATAGTGGCTGCCCAAGACAAAAGACAAGCCAGGGAGTGCTTATGCTGTCCAGGGATGCACACCTAATTAAGACTGCACATACAGCAGTGTGAAGTTTGCCAAGAGTAGAGTGATGGACAAAAGCACCATGAAATAGCAGATATCTAGGATGAAATCATGGTTCTCTCATAAGGGAATATATGTTGGCTGCAAAAAAGGCAGCACAGACTATGACTAGGGTTGCTGCCATCACAAAATGTAAACACCTGGTTTGCAACAAAGGGCTGTTTGCTTGAGTTTTGTACCACCATAAAAATTGTAATGGTGGCACAAAGGTGACGTCTGCTTGCAGCCTGAAGTGCATCAGCATGAGCAGGTGGGAAGTCAGCATTGCCACTGACTGTGCAGGGAGCAGAAGGACTATAAGGCTCTCACCAGCCCTGTAGTCCAGACCTTTTTAGACTTGAGGCACCCTCAAAAAATGCCAGCTCTTATTTTTTATTCATTTTTTGACTAAGTAAAAATAGAGCAATTCTGCTGCAAAGCACTCAGAAAGGCCACAACAGGTCACTCTGCTTTTGACAGTATAGACTCCTATTTGAAATATTGGGGTTTATCTTATAAATCATGCCTTCACACTTAATAGTGCTAACTTGCTTGACACCCCAATGCATCCCTGAGAGGATCTCAAGGTTCCCAAGGATGCCACAACACCCTGGTTGAGAATCGCTGCTCTACTCGCATGCAAATACCAAACAAGCTTCTAATGAGAGTGACTGAAGGTCTAGATTAGAAGAGAACTCAAAATCTTCTACCTGCTTAAAACTGAGTATAAGGTTCATGTTTCTCCCACAACAGTTTAGGGGTACTGGGAGCAGTAAGTGTCCTGGGATCTTATATCTCATTTTGTTTTTTACATTTATGTTGAAAATACTTTTTGGTTCACCTTAAATGGAAGTTGGCATGGAATAAATGTCAGATTTTGCTCCTACCTCTGAATCTGCCAGCTTCATATAAATGTAGAAAAATGTAGACGTTCAGTAATCAACAATGGCACGATCTGTCTGGATTCAAAATTAGATGCCGAAGAGGAAAGATCTTTTCTGTTCTCCCCGCTTATGGCTTTTAAAATAAAATACAAAAGCTGGGCTGCTCACTAGCAAGAGGACTACTTCTACTTCTGCTGATGCCCGAGTCACAGCGCATGGTCACTGCTTCCAGAGCTGCATTGGCCATGGCCTCAAAAAGGACCTGAAACCCCTTCTTCAATGCCTGGGATGATAGAGTCCTCTGCCTTGAAAGCAACCATGTCCTTTCACTGCTACTTTGATACCAGAAGAAATGCGGAGATGAGCAAAAGCAGTTTTGGAGGGGATGCCAGCTTCACACAGACATTGGCTAGACACCTCAGCAAGACCCAACAACTCATCTTTCTTAAACGGGGCAGCTAATTAAGCAATAAATTTATCACTGAACCCAATCCACACACTGGAAGTGATTCTCTTCTTGCTAATTTAGCAGGGATTAATTGAAGCCTATGCATGCCTCTCTCAAGCGCTCTGACAGCCTGCTGCCAACATGGAAGCAATTACAGCGTGTGCCAGGCCTCACACGCCCACACTTGCAAAAGAGGGTAGCACTGGTGCAGCCTCTCCTGTTAGCATCACAAAATAAAGGGCCTCCCAGCACGCTCGGAGAAGATGGCAGCCTGTGAGCAGGAAAAATGCTGCCAAATGTGGGGAAGAGTCTAGGGCCTGAGCCAGGAAACAGCTTTATTTTCCCCTTCCACATGCTTGCTATTACCTTGTAGGGTACTGAAGTCACACTTCACTGTCTCCCCTAATTTCAACTGCTAGGGCCAGCAGCTATGGAGCTGCCATGTCATTTGGACTCCGACTGGCTGACTGATCTCAGTCTGGGGATAAAGTAGGAACTATGCATGTGAATGCAAGGCACAATGTTCTCCCGGGTCAGATGTCCAAGTTTAAAAGGTTACTTCATCCCTCAGCAATGGGTGGAATCATATTTGTTGGAGGAGGTGCCTAATGCACTGGAGTCTATTCCACCTGAGAGCGAGTGCCAGCTCTTCAATTTTCTATGTTGGCAAATCGCAGAATCAGTACGTTTTCTCCATGAGTAACCTAGGGGGACAGAGCATGTGTTCTGACACACTATGACTTGGGGTTGGTAAATGAGCCCAGAGACCCTCTCCTGTCACTTGCCAGATGAAATCCAATGCAAGTCAACAACAAATACATTTTGAAAACATGAATGTTATCACATGAAACACTGAAATCCAGCAGCATTTTAATTAACAGACAATCAGTACCAGAACCTGACTGCTGACTCTGGGCACAGGAGCTCAAGCTGCCTTGTTCTGCTAGTAAGTGATTTTACTCACTGATTTCCAGTTGCCTTTGAATCCTCCCTTTGCAGCGCTCTCTATAGTCAGACTGCGTGGCATTGTACTCCGACATCACCTCCACGAACTTGCGTGATAATGTGGAATGCTGGAGAAGGAAGAACACAAAAAGTTGCTTTTTACTTAGTGCTGCATGGAGAAGGGCAGTTCTTCACCAGGGCTTTTGTTAAGGTGAGACCTTCACAGATCTGAGCTGAAGTAACTAAAAATACCTCCACCGCAACCATATTTAGCCTCTTCAGTGACATATCTATCCTGACACCGTGACAGATGAATGCTATCCAAAAGAATTCCTCGGTTTAATATGCAAAAAAGTACAAGCAGATAACATCAGACAGCCTGCCACAAATACAAATCAGCCAAAGTGCAAATCTGAAGGTATTCCACTTGCCTACCCAAAGAAACATAGCATTTGTCCTAGGAGACTAGCATTTAGCTAGGCTGACAAAAATAAAACATCATGGATCTGCTTTAGAGGTGAGGATCACATAAGGGTAAACACAGAACCAAGCCAAATATCATTCAGAGTTTACTTCTGACTTTTTCAAATTCCCCCTAATCCACTGAGATTTGCTTGAGTAGAAAGCTTAGCAAGACCCTTGGGGACTGAGCCAGAATGGGTCTAGAACTATAAATTAAAGATGCATTTTGGAGCATTTACCAATAACTGGCATTGTTAGAACTAAACATAGAGTAGATTAATACTGAACTATCAAAAGGAAGATTGCTGACCCTCTTGGGCAGCTGTGGTGAAGAAAATATTCGTATTTGAACAGCAACTGAAATGCATCTCCTGAGCTATTTTTAAATGGAGCATAAACTCAATGGTATTTTACTTGCATGTCAAAAGCAATCTATTATTTGTTCAGCGAGAATAGAGCTTGGCAACATTGACATAAAGACAGACCATCACTGAGCTGACTTGAAACTGAGGACACAAATGCATGCTTTTGAATTTCACCATCACGAGGCCAGGAGGTAGGGACACTGTCTCTTGGAGCTGACAAGTTAAATGTTTGAGCCCCAGATTACTACTTCACTTCCAGCTGCAAACCAGGACACTGTGAGCATAAAGAACCAGGGCATTTTTCTTGCCTTCTCTCCCTTAGCCTAAGGTGCTTATGATAGAGTCAGTTCCTCACAGGAAGACAGATATGTGAAGGTAGATGCAAAAAACTTTGGCAAGGGGGAGACAGGTTTGAGAACACGTGAGACCTGTAGCTACTTCATCAGGGATACCAGCCGAATAAGTAAAAGCCAACAAGGAAAATAAGACCTAGTTTCTTAAGCAGCTGCTTAGTCACTATAGTGGCAGTGCCCCCCGGGACCACCTGGGCGGGTGACTAGTGGATGAGTGCTGCGCCAGCTTGGAAGCAACACCCAGCCCGATCCAACAACAGTTGCCTGAACTGAGGCAGCACCCACCTGCTAGCAGCCCACCAAAGCGGCCCTGGGTGACAGCACCACTGCAGCGGGAAGGACTGGGACCCCCCATAGTTCAGGGGCCGCTCAGCCTGCTGGTGGCTTGCGGGGTGTGGGCAGACTCCACAGAACAAAAAAAAGATAGGGCCCCTTGCTACTTCTGCGCGTGGGAGTGGCGAGCTTTCAAAAGGCTGCAGTGTTACAGATAGCTATGTTGCAAACTAAACTACATGCAGATATGGTTTAGTTTGCAACATAAACTCATTTAAAACATAACCCCCCCCCGCCCCGCACATGTACATTGTGACGCAATTAAACCAAACACGCCCAATTTTCATCATGTGTACAAGCGCCCATAGACCCTGTTTGTAGTTCTCCGGTGTTGGCACATTTCAGCGATTTAAAACCGTTTTGAGTTGCTGCAAAGCTCTGCCGGGTCCCTTTTAAACACCAAATATGTTTTACACCAGACCAAATGGATGCTTCTTTCTAAAAAGACGCCTAACTCTGCCTGACCATTAAGCACTGGGTGTGTGGGAGCATAGCATGATGATAACTGCATCTCCAAGCATGCTATTTGCTCTCTGTCTGACAGACAAATTGGGATTGTTCTTCTGAAATCAGCCACCTTTCAGACTAACTACAGATGCAGCAGAACAGAACCAATATGCTCTTAGTGAGATTTTTTTCCATTTTACAGGGAACTGTTCCAAAACAACTGAATAAAAATTAACCAGAGCTTAACTACAATATAGATACTGACCACATCTGTACCACCCCAGTACTGCAGAGCTGTGACCTGCTGTTCATACAAAGGACAAAACTTGGCTGTGCAAAAATGCTGATTCTCTGGTTCCAACTGAAATTTTCAGAGTCCTATCTGCAACCATGCATGCTAACAAATTTTCCTTGCATCTGTGCTGTGCAGGAAGTACTTGCATGATTCTTCAATAAGTTAAGTTATATGGTATTATTTCTCGAACCTGCCAGTCACAACTGACACAACTTGAGCAGTGACTGCTCACAGAGGTTTAAGCCAGTAGTAAACAAATTAGAGAAAATTATGACTGGCTAATGGACATGCCTCAAGCAGAGAGAGAGTTTTCATTGACTCTTACAATACCTGTGAAATGAGTCACAGATAGGGAGAGAAAAGGGCCAGGAAGCAACTGGAGACTGAGAGAAAGGGAAAACAGGCAAATGACTGGAGAACAGACCACTGATAAAATGGGAAAAAGAGAAAGACATGCAGAGGGGTGGAAAAGAGAAAAGGGGAGAGATGGACTCAACAGTACAGGTAGAGAGAGACATGGTTCTTGCTGTAGGATCAGATGTGCCTGGATGCATGCCATTACAGCCGATCCAATTAATCAGATGTCACTGGGGCTGTTGTCTTGCAGGATTGGACCCTGCTGCTCCCACGGCTTCAGGGGCCCAATCCTGTGGGATAATGGCCCCAGGTACTATACCCTGACCTGGGGCACACTTCTGTCATGCCCCAGCCCACATGTGGAATCCCCTGCAGGAGACTTCCTGTGGTGCAGGATAAGCCAACAGACATCCCCCCCTTAAAGGCATCATACACTGTGACTACGTTTGGTTGCACAGATGTTTTTGGGCACTTGGGGTGTGACATGGGGTAGGGATATCTGTTTGCACCTGACTGACTAACAACATAAAGGACAAACTTGAATCTCCCGCAGAGTGTTTCCACTTTAATTTTCTGGGAGCCACTGAAATTACTGGAACTGGCATTTCCGTGAGTCAGAACTAAACACTCCTAGTGCCACAGGAGGGTTTTCCAAAGATGGGTTTGAAGAAGCACCAAAGAAAATGATAATAATAGTTACTGTTCCCCAGTACTGGATTCCAGGTAGCAATGAGATAGTCGGTTTCATGACAAGATAATGCTAGGTCAGCTGTGCTACAGGACACGTAAAGACCTGGTTGCAGGCAATCCAGCCTAGTGAATAGACCACTAAGTGAGGGCTAGAGACAAAAGCTGGGGGACCCACAGCCACACAGATGAGGATAGGTGTTAGAGTCTAAGTTAGCAAATCTGCGGGGCAATTCCAGAGGCAGAGACCAAGTCACAGGCTGACTCAGGGCTCTGGAGTCAGGGACCAAGTTCACACATCCAAGGGAGGAGTCCAGAGGCAAAGTCCAACCCACAGGCTGAGTCAGGGACCAAAGCTGAGCCAAGTTCCTGAAAGCCAGACTCCAGAAGCACAGCCAAGCAGGCTCAGAAGCCAAAACACCAAGAGCACAAGATCCAGAGAGGCTTTCAAAAAATAAAACTACCAAAGTATCACATTCTTCAAAATGTAACAAGTAACACCCCTGTAAACAACTGTATCTGTATTATATTGCCACAACGCAAACAGACATTACCCATCCCTTCTGTACCCACCCGTCCTATCCCGCCCCCACCAAAACACTGACGTCTAGCACATTCTCCTTTCTACAGTTAGGCTGACTAATAATTACAATAACTATAACATAACATAACCTAATCATCATATTTGTAGGCCTCAGCTGACCTCAACAATTTTCCACACCACGTAACATGCTCCTTGTAGCTACCTCTCTTTAAGCTACTCCATTCCCACCACCTCCCACACCAGGACACAAAAGCAATTGTTAATAAACAAAAAGAAAACGTGTCCATTTTTCTCATCCTTGTCCATCCGACACGGCTCCCAGCTGCCACTTCTGCACAAAATAAAGTGCTCTGTCAGGCCTCGCCTGCCTTCTCTTTCCCATAGAGAGCACATTATACTTATTTCGTTTTCTCATGCCTGCCTTAAACAGCCTTGCGGCATAAAAGTCTAGATTTTAAATACCAACAAGTTCCACATCATCCATAAACTTGTTATGTTTTTGCAAATGGGTGCATGTTTTGTCATCCGTAAAGTTTTTAAGTAAGACGCCATACAGCATCACTTCTTTGGTCAGCCACTGTCCCCTGGCCACACACTAGATTTGTTGGCCAGTTATGTCCTGTGCCTCTTTACCAAAAGATGCAGCATTAAAACAGGTGCACTCTTCCTGTTCATACAGCTCCTTTGGATACTGCAGGATCCTCCCAAGGTGCCACATGTACCACATCACCCATGTTGGTAGAATCTGTAATGCTGTGAGACCATTCAGGTTGATGTGATCCACTACCATCATCTTCTCAATGTTGGTCTATACTTGCTTAGAGAGCTCATATGATGTATTTTGTGCTGGTGCCAACACACCCCTCACCCTAATGTTTTCAATCATCTTTTTTGGGCCCATCAAGACCCCCAGCTCCACTTTTGCCAGCCTATATTTTGCCAAGAAGGCAGTGTGCTATGCACACAGGCACAGAATTGATCCCCTATATACCTTCAGTTTCCACATCATAGTTCTGGTAAATACTATGCAAAAAGTGCAGCCTTCACCTCCTCTACTACCGTTGCCTGGGAGGATGCACTCACCGGCTTTACATAAACAAGTATATATCCTTGGAGCTCCCATCTTAGATGGTTCAGCCCAAGCTAACCTTTCCCTTTTGGACTTTCAAAAAAAAGGTGCGCTACCCTCTGTAATCAACACGCTTGCTATCATGAAGGCAGAAAAAACAGTCTTGTGGACAGTATTATAGGAGACAGAATTACTTTCATGGTTCTCATCTGTCCC